AGGTTGTATTAAAAATACTTTTTATTTTTGGACAAGAAATACTTATTTTGTTATCTTTTTTTTTTACAAGAAAAATATGATACTTGTTGTTTATCTTTGTTTTTTTTTTTGACAAAAGAATAAGATGTACTACATTTTTTTCTTGTTTGTTGTATTACTTTTTATTTTTTTTTACAAGAAAAATAAAATAATGATGTTGCCAAAGTACATTTTATTGTTTTTATGCTTTTTGTTTTTTTTTTTTGCAAGAAATACTTGTTATATTACCTTGTATTTTGTTTACAAGAAAAATAAAAAAATGTTGTATTATCTTTTCATCTTTATCTTGAAAAACTTTTTATTTTATGTTTTTTCTATTTTTTTACAACAGTATTATCTGCTTTTTGTTTATTTTTTTGACAACAATTTGTATTTTTTTACAAGAAAAATAAAAAAATGTTGTATTAGTTTTTTTATCTTTATCTTGAAAAGCCTTTTTATTTTATATTTTTTCTATTTTTTTATAATAGTATTTTTTGCCTTTGTTTATTTTTTTTGACAACAAATTTTTTTTTGTATTTTTTGGTTGTGCGTTAAGGGGTTCGAACTCAAAAAAATAAAAAATTTGTTGTGCGATAAGGGGTTCAAACTCAAAATATTTTTTGGTGTTCACTGTGGGGTTCGAATTTAAGTCATACACCTAAAAATCATTGTTGTCAACCAACATGACCACATCACTACATGTGATTTTATTAGCATCTATAATAATATATATTCAATCATCTTGCTTTAATAATTTTTTGTGGGAATTATCCCACATTGAAGGATGAGTGTTGCTTGGATCTCTATAAAGTAATGTGTAATAGATTTTTTATTGTGTGTATAAATATGTGGGAGGCAAAAGTGAGGTGAGCACGCTTGCATGTGCGTGTAGCACAAGAATCGGGCTGAATCGGGTTGGAACCGGCGGTTCTATTCTAGAACCGGGCGGTTCCCGATTTTCTGCTGGAATCTGGCGAGTCCGGTTCGACTCGACGATTTTTAAAATATTGAAAAAAAGTATTACTTTTTTCTTTCTTTCATGGGTCTACAAGATCTGTACTTTCTTTTTTCCATCCCATACCCTTTTGACAGGATTAAATGTTTAAAAATCTGTTTGTTCTTGTCTCTTTTTATATTGAGCTCATGTCCCTAAGATTTGAGGACAGTTAACGAGACATGGGTCTGGAAGCGGCTTAATTGGCGTAACTGGTAAACCAGCCGATTCAACAGTTCTAACCAGACAAGTTTCGGGCGGTCAAAAAAGTGTTGAAAAAAAAAAAAAGAATACAAAAAAATCTACTAAAATGTGAAAACCATATAAAGAATGATTAAATCAAAACACATTGATGTTGGAAAACTAATGAAAAAAATGGATTTTAATCTATTTTATATTTTCTTAAATTTTTTTTAAAAAGATGGGAAAATATAAAAGTGAGTATTAATGACAATACAATTTTTAATCTTTACCATAATATAAAAAAATATTTAAAAATGCATTACAAATCAAATTTTTTATTTTTGAGGATTTATATACATTTTTCTAAATTTATTTTTTTGAAAAATACCGGTTGATCACTCTAACCGTTCAAAATCGGAACCGACCAGTGGCCGGTTCCAATCTAACCAGGTGGTTAGCGATTAGATCGGGCAATTTTGTGAATAATGGTTTCAGTCCATGAAATTACGGGGGTTTCAGTCTAAAGAGTCTTAGGTGCGATCTATGATAGGTATTTGCTCATTTGTCGCTTGATTTGTATACTATCTTTTTTTTTTTGGAAAATTGTTTGATGCGGGGTGGACCGCATTTCTTCATATGTGGCTTAGAAAGTGTAAAGCATCCGCAAGTACGTGTTCTATCTAAAAACAATGGAAACTAGAGGTTCAAATGATTTTTTATTAGAATTATTATTTTTAGTTTTTAAAATTTATTTATTTATTCATATTCATGATCTCTATGTTGGAGATTAAAGTCTTAAAATCCATCTCAAAAATGGTTTCATTACTGAAAATCTTTATGATAGCCTTTAAAAATAGTGTATCGAGTGTATCTATGAAAACTGGAAAATCTTGAAAATTGACGGTCTAAAAATGCATTACAAGATGTACTAT